GTGCCAGGTGCAGGGTCTGCTGGCTGGGTGCTGGCAGGCTTGCACCTGGCACGGGCACCGTAGCCAGACTGTGCCCCTTTAAGGGTTCCGGGGCCGGGAGGGGGGCAGACAAGTTTCCCTGGTGGTGCCCAGAGTGGCCACCAGGGCAAGCTGGGAAGGGCTAGCCTCCCACTAGTTCGAATTAAGTGGCTACACAGCCCTTAATTCGAACTACTTAATTTGAACTAGGCGTTAGTCCTCGTAGAATGAAGTTTACCTAGTTCGAATTAAGCGCTCCGCTAGTTCGAATTAAGTTCAAACTAGCGGTTTGTATGTGTAGCGCCTATCAAAGTTAATTCAAACTAACGTCTGTTAGTTCGAATTAACTTTGTAGTGTAGACATACCCTCAGTCTTCTCTTCTCCAGACTAAACAAACCCATTTTTTTTCAATCTTCCCTCAGAAGTCATATTTTTTAGACCTTTAATCTTTCTTGTTGCTCTCCTCGGAACTTTATTCAATTTGTCAACATCTTTCCTGAGATATGGAACCTGGAATGACACACAATACTCCAGTTGAGGCCTAATTAGCTTGGAATAGAGAATTACTTCTTGAGTCTTGCTTGAAACACTCCTGATAATACATCCCAGAATGTTTGTTTGTTTGTTTGTTTTTTGCAACAGTGTTATCCTGTTGACTCATTTAGCTTGCGATGAACTATGACCGCCAGGTCCCTTTCTACAGTACTCCTTCAGTCCAGTCACTTCTCTGTTTGTATGGATGTAACTGATTGTTCCTTTCTAAGTAGAGTATTTTGCATTTACCCTTACCTCTGGAGTTCAGACTTAAACTAGTTTGCCTAGCATGGTAGCCATTTGTTTGTCCAAAGATGCTTTATTTGAATGAATGATCATCAAGGGTTAATGATTCTTCCTTGTTGGCTCTGTGCCAGGTGTAAATATTTCTCTTCATGCATCTTTCGGGGTTTAGCTCAATATTAAGGTAAAGGGCATCAGAGAAGCTCATCCCCTGCTCAAAATGGAATTTGATTTTTGTGGATTGCCAGTGTGTATCTGTTTTTTCATTTTGTGACAGTTTGTAGAATGTCCATTTACACCTTATGAATTCTATTTACTAGCTGATACAAACAAATGGCCACATAAAACCTCTCTTAGAAATATCACAACTTCAAGAAATGTTTGGGTATAGTTTGAGCCAATACTGGTTAATCATTCTGAAGCCATTTTATTTTGTGAATATTAATTGCCAGTCCTAGATTGGAATTCCTCAGAATCATAGGTGAGAATCTGAACTTGAGTTAATTGGCCTAGAGGTTTGATACCCATCCTATGGTAAAATCTGTGAAATGGAGTTCTAAGGGAAGAAATCTCTGAGGATCCAGTTCCATTCCAGAGTTCCTTCTCTATCATCCTATCAGAGAACAGAGAAGGGAGGATTTGTTTTATCTCTTGGAATAGCCCAGAGAATCCACCCCCAAATCTCCCTAATTTGTAAGAATACAAAAGGTATGTGAAAGGCAAGGCCTTCTGCAGTGCCTCACACAGACTCTAGCTTTGAGATAATTACATTGAATTAAGAGAGGAAGCACTGCTTGATGGAGGAAAAAAACTGTGGCTGATTAGTTGCAAACTTGACAGCTGTGTCTAGACTGGCAAGTTTTTCCGCAAAATCATCTGCTTTTGCGGAAAAACTTGCCAGCTGTCTACACTGGCCGCTTGAATTTCCGCAAGAACACTGACGATCTCATGTAAGAGATCATTTGCGCAAGAGGGCCAGTGTAGATAGCACAGTACTGTTTTGCGCAAAAAAGCCCCAATGGCTAAAATGGGGCTTTTTTGCGCAAAAGCGTGTCTAGATTGGCACGGACGCTTTTCCGCAAAAAGTGCTTTTGCGCAAAAGCGTCCATGCCAATCTAGACGCTCTTTTCCGAAAATGCTTTCAACGGAAAACTTTTCCGTTAAAAGCATTTCCGGAAAATCATACCAGTGTAGACGTAGCCGACTTGTACTGCTGTGTCTGCAGGCATCAGGCATGAGAATGGAATTATGGGTAATGAATGAAAGAATAATGTTTTCATAGGAAAAGGATTCTTTCTGAAATTTCTATACCTTGTTATCACTCCTTTTAGGCTATTAGATGCTACAAATACTGAAGTAAAATGCACACAGTATAACAATAGAACTATATTACAAACATATTTTTTTAAATTAAAAAAGTATTTTTAATTCAATTTAAACTTTGGCTTTTAACTATCTAGTGCTTGATCCTAGGACAGCACTTTTGTATCAGTTAAACATTAGCATACATTATGTGTAGCATAATATATGTAAATACAATGACATCCGAAGAGAAGAAGAAAATGTGAAGATTAGGTTATCTTAAAATTAGGTCTAGAATTTGTTAACATTTTCTATGAAATTAATACAGTGCTGTCCCTTGCAGAAACTTAATGAAAAGAACCATGGGTGGTGAGGAGAGAAGGGGGAATATATACAGAGGTTTATGTCTATGCTCTTAGTTTTGAGATTCTGTAAATCCAGGCATAAAGCTTTACACAGTAAAATTGAATATGGACAGATTTAAAGAAGAATCCCTTGTCCCTATATTGTTGTGAGTGAGCAGCTGGGGGAGCTATATGGAAACAACAATGGAAAAATAGTAAAATATGGCTACTTACGGTGTAGCCCAGGGAGTTGCCTGTCCCATCTGCAGAGCTTACCTCAGAAATAAATTAAGTCCACAAATACATTTGCACTGACTTTTTATCTTGGAAATCATCTGGCAAATAAACAATGAATGTTGGGTTTCCAGTGAGCTTCCACCTGTTATGGAGTTAGAAGACAGCAGTACCCTTTTAAAAGCCATTAATAATGCAGAATATCAATAACTAAATAGATATATTGAATTACGTGCTGTAACATTATAATAGTCTGAGAGTTTGATCTCAGGTGATTTTTTTTATTCCATGTGACCCTTTTGAGCTAATTACAATACTTTTTTATATTTTAAAATAACTGTAGGAACATTATTGTGTGCTACATATGTACTGATGATCTAATTTCCTTGAGAAGCTCAAGAGAAAATTGTGTTGATCTCTATTTCCTTCACAAAATAAACTAACAAAATACTATCTTTTTCCTAGGAAGGCACTATGGGTCAAGGCCAGAGCACTGGTCTACGATGCAAGTGATGTGGTTTCTGTTGTTGGCACTGGCCTACAAGATGATGACTGTGGGAACATCAGTTCTTAGTTTCCCTCATGTTAAATGGGCATAATGATCTTGACCTGCATTATAAAGCTCTTTGAGATTTACTAATAAAAAGGAACCATGTAAGAGGTACTAACTCAGGCACCAATCCCTGCAACAAACCTCAGCGCCAACTTTGCCCACATATCCACACCAGCGACACCATCACAGGACCTAATCAGATCAGCCACACCATCACTGGCTTAATCACCTGCACATCTACCAATGTAATATACGCCATCATGTGCCAGCAATGCCCCTCTGCTATATACATTGGCCAAACTGGACAGTCCCTACGCAAAAGAATAAATGGACACAAATCAGATATTAGGAATGGCAATATACAAAAACCTGTAGGAGAACACTTCAATCTCCCTGGACACACAATAGCAGATTTAAAGGTAACCATCATGCAGCAAAAAAACTTCAGGACCAGACTTCAGAGAGAAACTGCTGAGCTTCAGTTCATCTGCAAATTTGACACCATCAGCTCAGGATTAAACAAAGACTGGGAATGGCTAGCCAATTACAAAAGCAGTTTCTCCTCTCTCAATGTTCACACCTCCAGATTAGCTGCTAGAAGTGGGCCTCATTCTTCCTGATTGAATTTACCTCATTATCTCTAGCCTGATTCTTGCCTGCATATTTATACCTGCCTCTGGAAATTTCCACTACGTGGATCTGACGAAGTGGGTCTTTGCCCACGAAGCTTATGCTCCAATACATCTGTTATTCTATAAGGTGCTATAGGACTCCTTGTCACTCATGTAAGAGGTAAGTATTCATAATACTATCATGGTTAGCAGGATACAATATATGATACAGTTAAAATTGAATATATGCACTCTTCTATGAGTCACAATGTCTCCATAATCTAATTATAGCACGATACCACAGTTACTGCACACACCTGGATGGTGAATGCTGAGTTTTGAAATGGCACACAGTGTAAAGAACATGACAATACACACTTCTACCCTGTGTTAATAGCCTATACCAATGGCAAATTATAAGACTAGCTATTAGACCCTGCTGTCATTTACTCTTTTAATAGGAATCCTTTAGCTTTGTGTGAAGGAAAACCAAACCAATCAAACCATGCATAACTTCTCAGCCCTGGAATATGCACTGAATAATGGTTTAGTCCTAAGCGTGTTGCTTCTCTAAGATGTGTGGTAGCTTCTTGTCATACTCCAAGCCAGCTAGAGGATTTCTGAATTCTTTGAAGTTTTCCCATTGGTGGTCAAGTCCTTGTAAAACCTGTCTTTACTTCAGTAGGATTGATTGTATGAATTCAGATTATATGACGTTGACCTGAATGTATCAGTTGGAATAATATCCCTAATAGTCTCCAAAATAATTAGAGTTGTGCAGCATTTTCACTCTAAAGACATTTAAATAGGGGGAAGGGACAATTCTACTTCCCTTGTCTCAGAGCTGTAATTCCACTGCAACAGTCGTCTAAAAATGACTTAACTTCCCTGCTTAACTAACTTTATTTGGCAGAGTTAAAAGCCAACTCTCAATTACCTTTTACCTGAAAACAATTCCACAATTAAAACCTCTCAGAAGGAAAATCCTATTTTGTTTCAAAACCTTGCTTTATTTGGAATCCCAGATGCAAAGTCTCACAATTTTCCTTCATCTCCAAATCAAAATATTCCTCTTTTTAAAGTTAAACTATTTTAGAGTGGAAGTTTAACCCCCAAATATCTGTCACACTGCACACCCATACCACCAGAAATAAACATGGAGACAAAAACATCTTTGATTTTCTGTATAAAAATTCTCTCTGGTTTAAGGGGAAGAGAAATAGCCTTCATTGTTAAGTAAGTAATTCTGTTTGCACTAAATGGGAGAAATATAGGAGCTGAAAATGAAAGATACAGAAAATAGGCGAGAGGAGAGAGAAGACACCATGAGACTTTCTATGATTTTTGAAATAGCTCAGACAAAAGCAGTGTATACTAAATCCAGATCCTTCCTGAGACATGCTGCATGAAAATAGTTTCCTTGATTCTCCTGAGTTCAGGTGCCATTCTCAGCCAATCAAGTAAAGAAATAGCATATAACTTGTGAGTTCCACCAAATGGTCAACTCAGAAAACATCATGTGACCCTCGTCTAGCTTTTTCAGATATTCAAAAAAAAAAGTAATGTAAAAATTCGAACCTTGTTTCACTGGCACTAAAACATTTCTTATTAATGAAGCATTTTGTAATCACAGACAATGCATGAACTTCACATTAGGTTACTTTTTGGTGTATTGAGGTATACAGGCAAAGGATTTGCATAGCTCTGGTGATCACGCCACTCTGCTTATCAGGCAAGTTCACTTTTTCTATAGCTTAATGTTTTGTTTGTTTGTTTTTTATTGCTGTCAGTGTTATTTCTGGGGATTACATGGCTCAAAGGACTGGAAATGAAATTCAGAGACTTTCACCTCTAGGTCAATGGTTCCATTCTGGTCCAGATCAATAGTGACAGCTCATTCTTAACAAGTGTACAGTGGCCTGTGTGAAATAAGTCCTTGGTCTCAGTCCAGTTCCTAGTTGGCAAGTACGAACATCACAAAAACTACTATTAAAAGGGACAATCAATTGTTGTTCTTGTCCAACAGTTCCAGAAGTAAGTCCAGAGTTGTAATGGTGATGAAGACTTAACTGCTCTTTCACCTGTGGACATGTTTCTCCAGGTTGAAGCATATTGTCGTGGAATATAGGAAAGCTCTCTTCCTCTCTCTGTGCACTAGCTGTATAAGCTGAAAGAGAAACTTCATTTTGCAGACTGTCTGGCACCTTTTACAAGCATTATTCCTAGCCTTCTATTCAAATGATATTTCATCAGAGTAAATTACTTTTTATTCTAAGTCTTGGTTTTCAAAATGATTCAGTTCAGCCCATGGCTAGTGTATTTATTTTGTTTAATATACACTATTTACATCTGTCTGTACTTGTGGGATGCCAAATAAATGACTTAATTCCTAGCAACATAGGTGCTGAAAAACAAAGAACTGAGTGGCACCATCTTTAAAATTACCTTTTTGACCTGCTGGTTCCAGAGCACAATTCTGAGAAAACAATCCCCCCACCTCCTAAGATCAGAGGCATACTTTTTTTCCCCTCAAATGAAACATAGATACAAAAAAAAAAAAAAAGACATCGCTCTCATCTGCAGCAGTAACAAGCACTTCTATTTCTATTGAAAGAAAGCAAGCAATTATATTCCATTTTGGCATTATTATTGACCATCACAGGTGTTTTTAACTGTAGACCCCCATGGTTTAGAGGCACCTTTACAAGCCATCAGTTTAAACTACAACTGAGACTTCATTGCTGTTCACTAAAAAAGCTATCTAACCCTTTTGTAGATCCCCAGATACTTGTAATCCTCCAGTCTCTAGCCCAAAGCAAAAGCAAGAGCATTTAACTTTAAATCTTAGCAGCACAACTTATTGCTGGATTAATTTATTTTCCTTCCCTATCAATTCTGTAGATTTATAATCATTCTCCTGTTGTATTTGAAACCAGCACATTGCTCTGCCATTGTACAGGTATGACTAACTACTGTCTAGTTCCATTGAATATAATATCATTTGTCTTACGTTATACAGGCTGGCTGCACTACACGACAGCAAACAGTGACAGTAATTTGCACTGATCTGCCCCCACTGCTAGTCCTGCTGCTACAAATAGCAATTGATTATTACGCTCTAGTGTTATTGACTGTCACTATGAACACAAGGTTTATTTCATTTTTAAAGTAACACCACAATTTTGCTTTAGTATTAAAAAAAAGTTCTTTGCTAGAACAGTGGCAACATCAAATTACACAATAAATCACACTAAAACATTCTTTTAATATTTCTCAATCAGGAACAAAGGAAAAATTAAAATATCAGTAACACAGAGGAGAATCATAGCTGGCATGAACTGATGTGGCTCTCCTTAATTCAATGGGAAATGCAGATTTACAGCAGCTGAGTGTTTGGTCTGAAACTTTCAGTTCAAGGCAAACTAAAATCTCTGCCCTGGCTCTGAAAAAAATCAGCAATTTCTAATATTAATGTTTGATTACTTTCAAAATTTAAATCCCCTGACATTTGAAAAGAACAGTAAAACCATTCCTGCCCACTCCCCCCTTCCTGCAAGTTCAGGATACAGTTTTGATGCAGGTTGTGAAATTCATCCTATTTCATACATGTATATTTTTCTCTCATTCAGAATCTTATATTCTTAGGGGGTATTAATCTGCAGGGTTGTCCCCTGAGTCCATTTCACACAATTTCTGGGCACAGAAATTTAGTTTAGGTAATTATCTTTTCTTTCCAAGTGAATTAAGAGACAGAATCCTGTGCTTATCAGACATAAGTGTAGATTTTGTTCTTTAATGCTGTCACCTGTGAGACAAGACGCACAGGTAAATCCCAAACTATATCTTTCTGCCCCTTTTAAACTGGATTTTAGATGTCTCTGGTGAGTAATGCTCCAAGGACAGAGAAAATGGTAATGTGATTTACTCTAATAGGCTTTAGCAGTGCAACTCTTAGCAGGAAGATACAGCCACATTACACCGTGTACACAGTCCCTTTAAAAAAATGTAGCCTAGATTTTATAATGTTTACTTTCATGAGAGAGGAAAAAGCACATAGCTCTATTCAGCCAATTAGAGTGTTAAAGAACATCTTTTATATAAATGCTGATTTTGAGACAGATAGTTACTAAACATTCATTTTGCAGATCTTTTCCTGTAACAGTATATATGTACTGTAGTACGGAATAACAGAGCACAGCCTGCTGTGTAGCAGTTGAATCTTATATTTCTGGGAGGCATATGGTATGCATATATAAAAATCTGATTCCTTCCCCTCCCCACAGGCACTATCATCTCTAAAGCTGCACTGTCAAAAGCTATTTTTTATGGCAAATTAGTGGTGTCATAGAAGTGATCTACAGATAATGCAACTGCTGTCCATAACAGAATTGGATCACCAGAGGGAGAGGATTGCTTGTGTAATGTACTTTAGATCGCTCTTCACTATTTTTCTGTCCTCTAAATGGGTCCAAATCCTGCAGTCCTTATTTAATACAAACTCCCATGGACCTCAGTGGGTGTTTTGTCTGAGTAAGAATTGTAGGATCAGGCCCTAAAATGAGTGTAATAAATGTCTCAGATTATTTCTTCCCAAATACTCCTCTTCTATCCTTTTGATAAGACATCTATTGCAGTTAATAAAAACTGATGGACTTGTATAACTCACTCTGATGAAGTGGAGGATTGTATTTTCTCTGTTCACTTTGTGATGTTGCATGTGATTTCTTCTATTCTATAGTAACCCCATGTTTGTGCCTCAGTTTCCCTGAGCACTAGACCAATACCTAGCTGGTGATAGCTGAAACAAAAGACAGAACTATGTAGCACTCTAAAGACTAACAAGATGGTTTATTAGGTGATGAGCTTTTGTGGGCCAGACCTACTTCCTCAGATCAATATGTGGAAGAAAATCAGCACAAACATATATACCAAAGTGATACAATCAAAATGGTATCAAAGTGATAAAGTCCCATCCTTTTTTTGATTGTACCACTTTGGTATATATGGTTGTGCCGATTTTCTTCCACATATTGATCTGAGGAAGTAGGTCTGGCCCACAAAAGCTCATCACCTAATAAACCATCTTGTTAGTCTTTAAAGTACTACATAGTTCTGTCTTTTGTTTCAGCTACACCAGACTAACATGGCTGCATCTCTATCACTATTGTAGCTGGTGATAGGAATTTGGGTGTGAGTGTCTCCCTCATGTACACAATGGTTGATGCTTTCTGCAGCCTAAGCTTGGGAGGGCTGTATGACCAGGTGAGAACTTTTGCTGGGGAAACTAGGCAAAGGCTGGAGGCAGGGCTGGCTAAAAGGGAGATGGGCTGCTGGGTGAGTGCATGAATCTCACTGGCTTGGGGTGCAGAGATAGGGGGCAGGGCTCTGAGGGGGTCTGAACCCACTCTCCCTTAGATGGATTGTACTGACAGTTTCTGGTTACTGTGCTGACAAGTCTGATCTATGCTGTGTTCCTGTCAACTAACAAACCTTCTGTTCTACCTCCTGGCTGAGCTATGGATGAGAATGCAGGGCCAGGTAACTCCCCACACTTCAATGGCAGTCACTCCTTCTCAGACTGATGTAAATGGCAGTTTTGCTGTTCACTTCACTGAGTTCAGGACTGGGCTCACAGGCAAAACCCTAACTTCCAAGCATAGAGAGGTTTAATATGGGCTTAGATATCACATTCTTGTGGAGGATGTAATGACCCCTGTTCTGAGGTTGGTAGAAAGCTTCACATGACATCACAATGGCCATGGCAATAGGCAAATTGTGATCCTACCTTTGAAAGAATTGCCTATTGCAAAGCAGACAGCAATTTGAGAAGAGGTTGGTAGGAAAAGATACATAAGTGATTTCTGAGTACATATTGGTTCCACAAGCTAAAAGCATAGCGATATGTAAAAAGAAAATTACAGGTATTACTAATTTTACTACCCTACTAGAGAACAAATTATTGCTTAAGCAGCTATATATTTATCAATTAACATTATTTCTCTATCCCTGTCTGAGTCTCTGTATTGTTGTAACTCCATCAAATAGTCATTTGCTTTTTTGTCGTAATAATCCCTTCAAATTTGCTCCTTTCATCTGGATCCCTGTACGTTATTTGTTGTTCTGCTAAATCCCTATTACAGAGGCCTATGAGTTCCAAAGGCCTGATGAATAATTAGAAATGTTTTATCCCTAAGCTTCAAAAGGGTGCTAGAAATAATTATAAGCAAACATTTTATATAGCATTCTGTGTCAATCCAATCCCTCCTTTATGATGTTTGCACTTTAGATAGTGAGGGAAAGTGAGATCTTGGTTACCAGCTCTGTCAGCATACAAGGGACAGATGTTCAAGTTGCTGTATCTTTCTTCTTCACTCTACTTCCTGGCAGCTTGAGATGTTCAGTACATTTCACTGTTAGTCAAGCCTGTAATCTCACAAGGGCACAGTTAATTATTGATCAATCAAAATGAACTTCATAATCGTATTGGCAACCAGTTCTACACTTGAGCCTCTCTCTCTGGTCCATAAAGTGGCTTATTGTAGTCACCTAGGTTATATCTACACTCTAACACTATTTTGGGATACCAGAGTATACGAAATAGCTATCTCGTGTCTTAACAGCAAGGACATTATTTTAGGCTCCCTATTCTGATGTCCGTGTAAACTTCATTCCACGTGGTACAGTGGGTTCAGAATAGTGGGTTATTTTGAAATTTGGTGCTGTGTAGACATCACCAAATTACAAAATAAGCTATTTCAAAATAAGCATAGCTCAGATAACATATCTTATTTTGAACTATAGTGCAATGTAGTCATAGCCCTACCGTGTACATAAATAATGCCAGATCAGACTAGGAAAGAAGGGTTCAGGTTTGTGACCGGAGTTTAGTGCTAGCCAACAGCATGCCCACCTGGCTCAATCTTACTCTTAAGAGAATGTTGGGAATGAATCTATCAGTTGTATCCCCTGTCAATGGAACAGTCACACTATGTTTTCTCTGTGTAATAACTCTGCAACAAGGGATATTTCTCTATATCATAATGACACCTAAGTGTCATAATGCCAGTGAAGTCAGAGGGAGTTTTGCCTTTGCCCTTTCAGTGAGACCAAGATTTCAGCTGTTCACTCCAAGAAGAGTTTAAATTGAATTATTTTAAAGAAGAGAACGAAATAAAAAGTACACTACCAACCAATAAGCTGCAATATCATCTGCTCCCTTCTTATTCTTCCATACTCCTGCATCTCTCATCTCCACAAGAAGCACTTTTTTTTTATTCCTGTTCTATTTCAAAAACAAATAACACTGAGGACAACAACAGTGCTTGTCTTAGCAAAGGCCCACATTTTTAGCCCATTGCTATCCTTTGTGATCATTACTAGATTTACCTGGTGTTGCTCAGGTCCTTAACTCAAATAAGTTTTGTTTTTCTTCATTTATATCATTGTTCTGGGATACGAGTGGGAGGGGCTCAGCATAAAGATTGCCCAGGGGAGAGAGGGCAACCCTAGCCCTCTCTGATAAAGATTGCCCAGGGGAGAGAGGGCAAACCTAGCCCTCTCTCACCACTGCAGCTTGGGGTCAGTGAGAAGCTCCTGTCCATGGCCACTGCCGTTGCAGTGGGCACAGTCAGGGAAGAAGGCAACAGACAGAACACAGTCAAACTTTATGAAATATAGAGTAGATATCTGTCCCTTTCTCCATCTCTGTCCCTTTTAGAGTAGATATCTGTCCCTTTCTCCATTTCTGTCCCCTTCTGCCCCCCTGTGATCATTCTACAGTATAACTCTCCCCCTGTGGTCATTCTACAGTATGACTCTCTTCTACCAGATCCCTCACTTTCCATTTTAAGAGAAACAGTCAAATTCCAGGCATATCAATTGTCCTGGCACAACCAAACTCTTATCTTGCTTTAAGTTATGGTAAAACAAAGTTGTATACTACATTTGGTGGTCTTAGCTCTTCTTATTTAGGAAGAGTTTTTGAACAAATGGACTTACAAGTAGACAGAGAGATTGAACAAATGGACTCACAAGTAGACAGAGAGACATAATTTCTAAAAGATATAGTGTTACCTGAAATTTCACTGGAGACCACTCCAAGGTTACACTTCTTAAGGATTTATTAAATGAGGAATTAACAATCCACTATAGGGTTAAACTAAAGGGGATTGTGCTGTCATTGAATGCTACTATAGAGTTAAACTCAAAATAAATGAGCTATCTGATACATACACATTCATTCATGCACTCAGGCACTCTCACACTTAGGCAGGCAAAGAGTTGTGGACAGAGAGAGAGAAAGAGAGAGAGTGAATGAGACAGAGACAAAGAGAGCGAGAGCACCAAGGCATAGTACATCCGGAGCATCTGCCTGCAGTCATGGAGCCCAGCTGGCAAGCTGATCAAAAAGAGAGCTTCTGCCATGTATTCTCTCCTTTCTATTGGAACTGGGCAGTTACTGTCACATATGCAGGGCCCTTCCTTCACCCTCCTCACTGAGAAACATGCCCAGACCTCCCTTGATCCTGGTCCTTTGTTTGCTTAGAGCAATGGTGACTCCATGATTGCTTTAATTAGTCATCACCTGGCTCCACATTTTTAGGCTTGCTATTTTCCTCTTCCCAAACACACTCCAGTCTCCTGTCTCACACACATTCTTATCACAGCTTAGAGTAAGTTTCAGAATTTAAAAAGCAAAGTGCAACTTTGTAATCTTTGTAACTTTAAGTCTAAGTTCAACAATCATAGAGCTTGCAATAAGTTGCCAAACAAGTGCAACTTTGTAATCTTTGTAACTTTAAGTCAAAGTTCAACAATCATGGAGCTTACAATAAGTTGCCAAATTTAAAAAGAAAAGCAGCTGAAAGTTACAAAGAAACAATTGCAAAGCGTCAAAACTCAATAGTTACAAAGATACCTTCCAAAGCACAGCAACTGAGAACAATTCCTAAATCAATCATCTACAAGTCATCAGCAATAAAGTGACTTAGAACACAACTGATCCCTCCAATGTGTTCACAGCAATGCAGTCAGAGAATGACAAAACCTGCTGCTTAGTCATGTGTTGGCAGGACCTTACAGTTTAATGCATTTCCAGAATATTTATGTGTAAATCAGGGCACTCCAATTTACAGGATAATAGCTCGGGTGGAGACTTTACATAACAAACAGTAAGTTATTACACTCTGTAGTGGATCTCCTCTTTGCTCCTGTCCTCATGAGATAATTCTCATCTGTGCATTAAGGCATTGTGTACGAAATGAGATCAAGATAAGTGCAACCTTACCGGGTACTGGTCACAAAAGAATGTAACTAGTGTTGCTATCTTTCCTTGTGTAACTGAGTCAATGGAGTTAGTGAATACTGGCCACTGTGGATACTAGACAAACTTTTGCAACCCTGATCTAGATCAGGTGAGTGGCACCAGTAACTAGCATTAAATCATTTCCCCCGGCACTTCTATGGCTCACACTTGTATTACCTCTGCTTTTATGTTGCATGTACAACAGTATGGAACATTATGTAACAATATATTTCTATTCTTAACTATACCCTATCAATGAAAAATCTTTCTACAATATATTTCTATTCTTAACTATACCCTGTAAATGAAAAATTTTTCCTACTTCAATCTGCAAAGTCATCATCCTTTATTCATATAAATCCCCTCTGAAGACCCACTTCTGAAGGTATGTCTACCCTAGCCCCCTAGTTCGAACTAGGGAGGCTAATGTAGGCATTCGAAGTTGCAAATGAAGCCCAGGATTCAAATATCCCAGGTTTTATTTGCATGTTCCTGTCCGGTCGCCATTTTTAAATGCCACTAGTCTGGACTAACTGCCTGCGGCTACATGAAGCAGTTAAACAGTAATTCGAACTAAGTCCTTAGTTTAAATTAACTGTTACACCTCATTCCAGTTAATTCTACACTAGAACTAGGGGGCTAGTGTAGACATACCCTGAGATACTTATGCTTGCTGATGAAATCTTCTACTACATCTTATACTGCTCATTAGCCATCAGTAAGAAATTGCATCATCTTATTGACGTGGCCCCTATCCTTCCTCTTTGTAGCATATCTGATATTACCCTGACAGCTTTACAGGTCAGGGATCTTATCTTTTAGGTTTATTGAGAGGGATCTAGCACATTCCGGAACAAGACATGAAGTAATGTATAAGAATTAATTATATGGATGATGAAAATATTCCCAACTACGTTGGTTAAGATAAAATTTAAAGGCTATAATTCATGACTTGGGATACCAGAACCATAAAAGGATAAGTCTACACTGGCACTTTACAGTACTGTAACTTTCTGGCTACGCGGTGTGAAAAGACATCCCTACCCCCGAAGCATAGCAAGTTACAGTGCTATAAAGCACCAGTATAAACCAGGCTACAGTGAAGGCAACCACACTCCCAGAATTGTTAGTTTCTCTCCTTGCAGAGGTGGTTTTACATAGAGCGCTGAGAGATCTCTCTCATGATGTGGCCACTTTTTCAGATTAAAGCACTGCCGTGGTTGTGTTTTAGACTTTTAAGCATAGACAAAGCCTAAGTGTCCAGATTAGAGTCAACCTCACTCAGAGGTATGTTATTGCATTATTGATTATTATGCAGGGTAATGCCTTCTTCTGAAGTGGTTTTGCCTTCTGCTGGAAACAAAACACTGGTGCTAGTACCACCTAGCACAATGGGGGCCTGGACTATTACTGGTATTCCTAGGGGCAATGGTAATACAAATAATATAATTAAAGATGTGCCTAGTTCTGATTTGCCAGGGCAGTTCCTATGTTTCAGTAGTACAATTTAATACTTCATATTGAAGTCACTGGGCATTCTGAATATGAAGCAACTATAGGATGACTTCTCGAAAGATGAATATGAAGCAACTATAGGATGACTTCTCAAAACCATAAGATGCAGCATATGTATTTGCAACAGAGAGACACCCTCTCACCTCACCCTCTCAAAAAATGTCTGGAATATATTACTTTTTTAAGTAACCTCACTCCCTTCCTCACACACACCACAATATGTTTACAAAATTCTTATTTGGTCTTTTAGTTAACAAATGATGCAAGCCCCGAACATTCATCCCTGCTTAAATACTGTACACCATAAATAACCTGTCTATCCTAATTTTATCTTGACCACTTTATATTGCACTACTCTTGTACAGGAAATGGACAGTATTTAATATTGATGGCTCTGTAGGTGTCATTTAATCATCCCTATTGATTGGATTTCATCAGAATGTGGGGCTTGAACAGAAGCTTTGATTATACTGTAAGAATTCTTTGCAGTTTTCTGTAACTCAACTCCATATCAATGCACCTTCTGGTGTAATATCACTTTCACAATCAATACCTGAAAATAAAATAAAAGAGAGGCCTCTAGGGGGAAAAAAATGACGAGTCTCCTTCTAAGTTTCTTTTTGCACGTAGATTAAATCTCCCCAATTGAAAATGATTCATTTCATGTTTTAATGTCAGAGCAAGATGGCAGAAAAGGCCTGAAAGAGTCTCCATAGATTATTTGTGTAATTTTACATAAGCTCTCCCTTTAATTCTTGGTTGATATTTGAAAATTGATAATTTTTAACAATTAAATGTTAATTTAATTTTACTGTTATTCTTATTTTAATAGTAGAGTCATAACTATATTTTTGGATAAACTGATAACAAGAGGACTCTTTCCTTATCAAACTTCATTTTGCTTAGAATTTGCTATTTAAAAGTTTGTAAGGACTTTGCTGAGTTATCTTATTGTGATTCTGAAAACCACTCCACACCATTCCACTAAACTATAATGAAGCCATAATTCTATCATCCCACATTAATAACATGCAGCAGATAATATCTCATTACTGATGCTGTGATGGGTTACTCCAATGGGAATGTTCAGGTAGTTCTTTTTACTGTTTTCCTGAACTCCACTTCTATGCATTAATTGATTTAAGATGTGGGAATGCAAA